CTTGTGCTTTTTCTTTGGCTCTTTTTTCTGTTTGTTTTGTCCTATTTACTTTAGTTTTGTTTCTTTTGTTGTTGTTTCCCCCACTTGTTTTCTAATGAGAGGAAGAAAGAGTGTGGATTAGGGTAGATGAGGAGGGAGGGAGGGAGGATGAGGAGGGAGGAAGGGTGAGGAGGGAGGGAGGGTGAGGAGGGAGGAAGGATGAGGAAGTAGGGAGGATGAGGACAGGGGAGGATGAGGAGGGAGGAAGGATGAAGAAGTAGGGAGGATGAGGAAAGGGGAGGATGAGGAGGGAGGAAGGATGAGGGAGGGAGGATGAGGACAGGGGAGGATGAGGAGGGAGGAAGGATGAAGAAGTAAGGAGGATGAGGAAAGGGGAGGATGAGGAGGGAGCGAGGATCTGGGAGGAGTTGGGTCAGAGGAAACTATGATCAGAACATATTGCACGATTAAAAAAAAACATTTCCAAACAGAACAAAACAAAGCAAAACCCTGGGTCCTTTCGGAAAGCACCAAGTGCTCTTAAGCACTGGGCCATCACTCTAGCCCCATGACAGAACATTTCCCTTGCCATTCTCTGAACAGTATAATTTATGCGGTATCCAATGAGCACACTTATATTTTGATATCCTCAAGGGGCCTTGGAACCTGTGCTCCCTCCCTGCCCTGGAATGCCAAGGGATGAATGTACCACACTGAGCTTCCACTGTTAAATGGCCACTCTGATTCATTTTCCTTAACATAAACTGTGATCTTAGTACCAGATGTTTCTTTAGGAAATCATGACTATAATAAATAAATCACATTACTTACCAAACAGGTGGCTTATCATAAGTTCAGCTGTCTGGACTTACTCTTTTAAAAGTTTTCTCAGGTTTGTCAAATTCATTTCCATTTCTAAGCTAAAGTTACAGAAATAATCAGGTAGGAAAGGGTGGATGTTGCTGTCTACAGCTGTTAAGTTAAAGCTGCGTTGACACTTAAGTAGGAATTGGCAGAAGTATTAGCTACTGAATGTTAATTATTTTTGTCTCCAAGGAGAGTGTTATTTTCAGTAAGCCTGTGTGGCTGTCACACAAGATCCTACGAAACACATTAAAGTATTGTTGTGGCATTTTATATTGAGATTAAAACAAGTTATCTTTTCTCATAAAACCATTTTTGGACGATATTTGTTAATCTTTAAGAGATAAGTAAGGAAAGGGAAGAGTCATAGGAATTAGTATGTGAAAAAACATGCCAGTGATCCATGTGGAAGATGAGTGTTGTGGGGTCCTTTGGCTAGAAGTGGTTAATAAAGTAATTACATTGATGTAGCCTGAGGTTTGTAGTCACACTTTCTCTCATTCAGGCTGTGGTTTTCTGGTGAGCTCTCTCTCTCTCTCTCTCTCTCTCTCTCTCTCTCTCTCTCTCTCTCTCCAGCCCCAGTTAAATGTTTTCCTTCGTAAGAACTGCCATGATCACAGTGTTCCTTCACAGCACTAGAAACCTTAAATAAGACAGGGAATCTGAAAGCAAGGCTGCAAAGATGTAACCAGAGATCCAAGGCAATGTGGAATTATGGGAGACAGGAACGTTTAAAAGGGGAAAGGTGAGGGGGGAAAGTGGCTAAAGCTTCTGCAAAGTCAGTGATAATTAAGTTTTCAGTTGATCTACTAAGAAAGAAAGCAGAGCCTTCTGTGAGTGATTTCTGGGAATTGATGGGCCGGAGCCAGCTGTAGTCTGTAAGGAATGTGTGAAAGGCAAGGAGAGAGTGGTAAAAATGTAGCCAGCATGGAGAGAGTGGTAAAAATGTAGCTAGCATGGAGAGAGTGGTAAAAATGTAGCCAGCAAGGAGAGAGTGGTAAAAATGTAGCCAGCAAGGAGAGAGTGGTAAAAATGTAGCCAGCAAGGAGAGAGTGGTAAAAATGTAGCCAGCAAGAAGAGAGTGGTAAAAATGTAACCAGCAAGGAGAGAGTGGTAAAAATGTAGCCAGTCTTTTCAAGGCAAGGAAGGAAGAGGGCGTGGGCATGGATGAAGGCAGGAGAAGTGACCATGATTTGTCCATCCATGGGAAACTGTAGTTGAAAAACATTGAAGGCAGTGAAGTCCCTGGGTGGCAGGAGGGGCTAGAATCCTAAGCAAGTTTCAGTGGAATATATTAGACCTTAAAAATCCAAAAAGATGTCTTCCATAGTAACAACAAGAAAGCAGGCAAGAATGGTTAGTTTGATAGCAGAAGTTTTGAAGACTGGGTGGTCATTCAGCACTTAGTAATTGCGTAGTAAATAATATTGCTTAGATAGCATGTGGTGTACAGTCACTATTCATCACAGCTCATTTATTATTCCTCTGTGCATCCAAATCTGTCGTGATCTGTCACAGTCAGGTTTACCACAGGGGTGTATACCAGTTTAGAATTATGGGATTGCTAACCTAAAACATTACCTTTATATAATTCCTCTTTGTTTCCCAATATGGAGTTATCTCATTTACCATTCAAAGAAGTCTTGAGGCACATCTGCCGTATTTAAAAGTTGTGGCTAGCCTTGTGGACTGTTTGAATAAATGGAGTAGCTATACACAGACTATTTGGATGCTAGATACAAGTATGAAGGCTCAGAACTGTATATATCTAGATAAAAGATCTTGTTTGAGATAGTAGATGACAGTTCTATTAATTTGTTTGTGTACAATAATGCTTTTGAGACATGTTATGTGTCTATATTTTGGTATTGCTTTCAAACCTTGAGCCATTTACTTTAAATATTTATTTTGGGGGTACCAAGTACTTGAACCCAGACTCCTATGCACGTTGGGCAGGTACTATCTCACTGAGCTGCTATATTCCCTTTTCTAGTGTCTCAAAAAATCATCATTCATTTTTCAAAGGCAATTTGAAAATTGAGCAGCCAAATGTTATTAGCAGCCAAGATTTTTTCCCTAAGCCAGTTTCCAGCTTGTATCTTAAATCTTTTTTAGAGTAAATCACACGATCTAATGATACGTGTGAAATAAAATGAGCCATCCTGAAAAGAGTGGCGTTCTTGTGGGTGTGGTGAGGGCAAATTACAGCACTCATGCTGAGACTAGTGTCACCGGCAGGCTGTGTGGGACACGGTAATTAAAGCGTCCTAAAAAGGCGTCTATTGGAAGCACGCTGTTTTTACTTTTCTAGACTAATATTTCACTGCTGCTTTTGAACTAAGAAGCTTATATAAAAGCTGCTCCTCTGGCTTACAATTGTTTTGTAAATTATGCTAGTTCCTGCTGGGGTCCACTCTCTATGCACAGCTCTCCTCAAAGGAAAGCTCTGTTCTGTTTTCATTGGACGTTTTACCGCACACAGCCCCTCCCAGAATGTACAGGTGCACACACATCTATTGCCCCCATACATAAACACAGAGCAGTATAGCAAGTGTAAATTACATGTAAGTACATAGACAACATTTGCACCTTTTGTTACTGTTTTGAGATAGGGTCTTACTCTGATAGCCTCAAACTCACTGTTCAAGGGGCTGGGAGCAGGCAAACTCACTAAGAGCACTGCCTCTTCTTCCAGAGGTCCTGGATTCGACTCCCAGCATCCACATGGTGGCTTCCAACTGTCTCTAACTCTCGTTCCAGGGGATCTGATGCTCTTGTCTGGCTTCTGTGGGCATCGGGCATGCATGTGGTACATAAATATACAAGCAAGCAAAACCACCCAAGCAAATAAAATAAAAATAAGTAAATCTAAAGAAGAAATTTCAAAAGGAAAGTCAGGGTTCATACATGCACACACACACACACACACGGGCACAGTCAGGAATGACAAAATTGAGATTGGTTGCTTGCTGTATATCCCAGTTTCATTAACTCTGTACAGACTCTGCCACAGTAAAAGCAATAGCATTATAACATTTGTTATACAAACTTGGAGATCTCCTATGTATGTTTATTAATTGTGGTATATCCATTTTAAGGAGTCAAAGCCAGGTGTAGTGGTGTATGCCTTTAATACCACACTTGAAAGATAGAGGCAGATGGATCTCTGTGAGTTCGAAGCCAGCCTGATCAACACAGAAAGTTCCAGAACAGCCAGTCTCAAAAAAAAATTTTTTTTAAGTAATTAGCTGTTTTTCTTCTGGATCTTGATAATAGATTATACTTTTAGAAATAAAATTCAAATGAACAGTCTTAAATTAATGTGACAGATGATGTTTGCTGCAGCTCATTGCCTCTGATATGTCTTAGTCACTGTTCTCTCAGTGCAAAGGGACACCATGATCAAGGCAACTTACACAAGAAAGCATTGCTTACAGTTTTAGAGGGTTAGTCCGTGGTCGTCATGGTGGGAAGCACGGTGGCAGGCAGGCATGGCGCTAGAGCAGAAGATGAGAACTTACATCCAATCTGCAGGATGGAGGCAGAGAGGGACTGGGCCAGGTGTGAGTTTTTGAAACCTCAGTGTCCCCCCCAGTGACACGCCTCCTCCAATAAGGCCACACCTCTAATCACTTTTAAACAGTTTCATGAATTGCAGACAAAGCATTTATCTATGAACCTGTGGGGGCCATTCTCATTCAAACCACCACAGCAGGCCTGTGTGGGGCACATGTACAAAGTTCACACTCCACCATGCCCGTGTGGGGCACATGTACAAAGTTCACACTCCACCATGCCCGTGTGGGGCACACATACAAAGTTCATGTTCCACTATGCCTGTGTGGGGCACATGTACAAAGTTCATACTCCACCTTGCCCATGTGGGGCTCATATACAAAGTTACAAAGTCCACACTCCACCATGCCCATGTGGGACACACATACAAAGTTCATGTTCCACTATGCCTGTGTGGGGCACATGTACAAAGTTCATACTCCACCATGCCCATGTGGGGCTCATATTCAAAGTTACAAAGTTCACACTCCACCATGCCCATGTGGGACACACATACAAAGTTCACACTCTACCATATATGAGTCCTATACTCTTCTGAATTTTAGCCTTACCATTTTCTGAAGACACACTCTTTTTTACAGGTTTTATATATGAAACTGTATGGAAATCCAAAATATTACCAGGCCTTCTATTACGGAACAGTGTTGCCACCTGATGGTAAGTTTTCTTCTCGCTTCTTTGATTTGTGGGCTAACTTTATTTCCATTCTTCCGAGTAAAGCGGGAGATGCAGTCTTGAGCTGAACAGACTCTGCCTACCCCACCCCACCCCACCCACTGGTTGTGTTTGGTTTCTTGCCTTTCTGGTAGCATGCTGTCACTGGTAACGCCTTTTGGCAAACTTCACCATGTGACCTCAGGAACTGGAGATGAGTCAGACGAAGATGCATGAGTTCCTGTCTTAAGGATCGGAACTCATTACCTGTGAAGACCTTGGGCAGATCCTCATGACGCCGAGCAGGAGAAACTACAGCAGACTGTTAGAGACCAGCAGGCCTGAAATAGATATAATGGCAAACCGAAGCACAATGCAGAAACCATGTAGTGACATGAATTTTTTAGGGATTCTGAGATCTATGAACTACTCATGTAAGCATGAGCATTCCATTACTTTACTTTATAATGGGGATGGGAGAGTAATGCCTCTCCCAGGCACCATAGTCTGTCAATCAGCAACCCAATGCTGGGTGGAAGTCATCTTTTTTGAAAAATCGCTCAGTGGTACAATGTGCATGCAATAGTCCACAGAGGTCAAAAGAGTCATTGGATCTTCTGGAAATGGAGTTACAGACCATGTGAGCTGCCATGAACCAAACCTGGGTCTTCTGCAGCAGCAGCCAGTGTTTTTATCCACGAAGTCGTCTGTCCAGCCCTGATAAATTCTCGTGTTTTAAAGCTTTAAGGTTCTAATCTACATTTTTGTCTTCACAGAAATAACAGTCAATTATAAACATGGCCTTCCCTTGGTGACACTGACTCTGCCATCCAGAAAAGAGCGTTGTCAGTTTGTCGTCAAGCCAATGGTGTCAACAGTTGGCTCCTTCCTTCGGGACTTACAAAATGAAGACAAAGGCATCAAAACTGCGGCCATCACCACAGCAGGTGTGCATCTGTGCCTCTTAGACCTCTACTTCCAGCCTGCTCTCTCTTCCCTTCTGCACGCCTGTTTTGGTTCTTTACTCTCCTAAAAAGAATGCCATCATATGATAAATTAAATCATTCTTTATATAACCGATGGCTACCCTTTTTGCAGCCCTTCCTTTTCACATGTCAGTATGATTAAAATAAGAACTCAAAGCCAGCACAGTGCTGCATGCCTAGAATCCAAGCACTGGAGAAGCTGAGACAGAAAGATTGAGAGTTCAAAGCTAGTCTGGGCTATGTACTGAGACAATGTCTCAACAGAAAACAAAACAGAGCAAAGAAAACAAAACAGCTCCAATTTTATTAAGTAAAAGAACATGGAATGAGTTTAGTGTAAATTTCAGTTATTCATTTTATAAACAGCCAGAGATTTTTTCCTATGAGAAAATTTTAATATTAAATATTAATATTAGCATGTAATTCTCAGCAAAATCTAATAAAATGGGGATAAAATTTATTTTCTACAATTAAAATAGTCAGTAGAAAATTCACAGACAGTGAATTAATCTTTGTTATAAAGCAATTATGGTTAGGGAATGTTTTCATAGAATCAGTTCTTAGGAAAATATACATTTTAATATCAGGAGAGGTAGTTAATCATTTATGTATTTAAGTATATGGTATGGATTTTATATTATCATGGCATGAAATGGTTTTAGACCAACTGCTCCTAAAATTACATAAGAAATTATTTATTTCAGTTCAATATTCAAAAGCCATTGGTAAATATACATCAATAAATTATCATTGTTATTTTATTGCATTAAAAGTTCTATGTAAGCTTATTTAAAGGTTGGCAATTACTATTGTAGTTTTGAAAAGAAAATAAGCAGGGGCCGGGGAAATGACTTAGCGCTGAAGAGTGAGATTCTAATACCCACAATAAGCAGCACTCAGTGCCTTGTAATCCTCACCTGTCCTCCACAGCATTGCATGCAAATGAGCACGCACGCACACACACACACGCACACGCACACGCACACACACACACACACACACATGCACGCGCGCGCACACACACACGCACGCGCACACACACACGCGCGCGAACATAGTTGAAAATCAAAATTAAAGCTAAAAAAGAAAGAAAAATAAAGTTTTTTTCATAACCAAGCTAAGAACCAGCTAAGGGATACATACAGAAATTGGAAACACAGAGATTAAAGAATTTATTCTTTTTACAAATATTTGTTGAGCATATCAGGTCTTGTAGATGCTAGAGACAGAGCAAAGAACCAGACAGATAAGAGCTCCAGCCCTTAATAGAACTTAAATTTTAGGAGAAAAAAGAAACAAAATAAAGCAATAATTATGCAATATGCTAACTAGTAAACATTAATGGAGGAAAGTCGGATAGGGAACAGGGTGAGTCTCCAAGGTGACGTCTGAGTAAAGATCGGGACATGACGCAAAGAATCTGGAGGATAATGATGAGGGAGGCCTGGAGGAGGTAATGAAGGGGGCTGGGAGGAGACAAGGAGGGGGACTTGGAAAAGATGAGGGGAGCCTCGAGGAGATGATGAGGGGGACTTAAAGATGATGAGGGGGGCCTGGATGAGACGATGAGGGGGACCTGGGGGAGACAATGTGGCTTGGAAATGATGAGAGGGATCTGGAAGAGTGATGGAGGCCTGGAGAAGATGAGAGGGACCTGGAGGAAAGAGTGGGGCTTGGAGTTAACAAGAGAGACCTGGAGTCTCCCAGCACTTGGGAGGCAGAGACAGGTGGATCTCTGTGAGTTCGAGGCCAGCCTGGTCTACAGAGTGAGTTCCAGAACAGCCAGGGTTACACAGAGAAACCCTGTCTCAAAAAACCTGAGAAATAGTGTGTGTGTGTGTGTGTGTGTGAGAGAGAGAGAGAGAGAGAGAGAGAGAGAGAGAGAGAGAGCTGGAGGAGATGATAAAAAGAACCTAGAGGAGATGAGAGGGACCTGAAGGAGACAATGGGGACAGAGAGCTGATGAGAAGTGATGAGAAGGACCTAGAAAAGATGAGAGGGTCTTGCAGTCCCCAGGAATTCTGGAACAGTGGGGTTGGAGGAAGGGGGATTCTCAGGTGAGGGGAACAGGTTGAAAAAGGCTAGTGGGTTATTGTAAGGACTTGACGCTTTCTTCCTGCTTTGTGGCTACAAGGGGCTTCTAAATAACGCAGACACAGGAGCCGTGGAAATGCAGGAGACTTCCTGCCTGCCCTGGGAATCTAGCAGTAGACAGATGTATACATAGATCTCAGGTGAGGTTGAATTGAGCAGTGTCTCCACAGAAGCATTCAGTAAGCCTTTGATAAATGAGTGAAGAGAGGTGGGGAAAAAAATGGTTGATAAAAATGGAAGATGTTCCCCTTGCTTTTCTCCCTCCAAATAACTTTAAAAACAGTACAAGGAAGCCAGAAAGTCTGAAGTTTTTCTCTAAAAAGATTAGGAAATGGGGTTCTTTGAACTGAAGGTACCTTACTGAGGCTTTTAGTGGAAGTCATTAAATGTGAATTTTTAAATGACATCAGATAGAAATTCATTGTTTTGCTGTCTAGTTCTTTAAGAAAACAGGGCCAGTGTGTGGAATTTGCCCGTGTTTAATTTGCTCCTGAAAAGTGGGTTCTGAAGCTACCATACCTCTGCCTATCACTAGCCAATCCCTGGGAACTTGGTCTCACCCCAGCTCAACAGGAACCCAGACATCCAGATTCTAGCAACAAACCCAAGTGCAGACCTGACTAGCTGCCCTTGGGACAGGAGAGCCATTGAGCTGGACAGGAGGCAGGCCGCCAGGCTCTTCTCTGCTGTGCAAGCAGACTTTCTTGGGTATCCTGGTTCCTGTAGCTGAAACGGCTTTGGCTGAACGTCCAAGCAGAAAGCTGGCCAGAAGGAAACACATGCCCATAACTTTCCAGAATGTGTTACCCATAACTGTGTGTGGGCTGGTCTGAAAAAGAGAAAGGGCTCCCTGCCCCGCACGAGTTCTCCACTCCCAGCCCGGTGACTGCTTTCTTAACTCCTGACCTACAGGAGAGCATTGTGGGTTCTGGTTTTGAAATAGGCTCTATGCGAACTGGTACACAGCATCTTGAGTTTAAAACTCTCCGGAGACTCCCTCCTCCCCAACCCCCACAGACCTGAATATTCCCAAATGCTAAACCAAAACGCAAGAGGCTGGAAGATCCCTGAAATAGGAGGGTTTCTCAAGCAGCTATAATTGCGATCTTAAAATCTGAGGACCAGGCCTTGGGACAAGTTCCTACAACTATGAGGGGCAAAGCTGGACAGCAACTGGGCGATGCCCGCTGGACCTGGAGCTAATGGTGTTGTCACGGCAGAAAGTGGGAAAGAGTGACTTTAAACATTCATTGGCTCTAGAGGAGAAGGTGCCTCTGTCTTTCTCCCGAAGAGGTAACCTCTGCTCTCTCTCCCCTCTTTCTCTCCTCCCCTGCCTCTCTCTCCTTCCCCCTTTCCTTTTTCCCCCATAACCCACTAAATAAACTCTATGCCCCCCCCCCAAAAAAAACAATCGGTATGGAAGGGCCCCGCCCACTGTAGGTGGTGCCACCCTGGACAGGTGATTCTAGATGGCACAAGAAAGCAAGGTGAAGAAGCCATGGAGAACAAGCCAGCAGGCAGTGTTCCTCTGTGGTCTCCTCTTCAGTTCTTGCTTTGGCTTTCCCCAGTGATGGACCTATGCCAAATAAATCCTTTCCTCTGAAAGTCCAGTGGCTTTTCACAGTGACATAAAGCTATCTAGGACATGTCCTATCTCAGAGAAGGGGGGAAAATCTCCACAATGAGTGGACAGAAAGGGCTTACATAGTAGTCTCCACCCCCCGCCCTGGAATGATTTTATCTAAATCAGTGTGGGCCTGGTTTATCTCAAACAAATCTTAAGGATGCCAGGCACATTCCTGGCTCTGACCGCTGTCAGGGCTCCGGTCCTAAGATTCCACCTTCCAGGCTAATGAGTTTGTCTGCCTGAAGCACACTGTGAAATGACACAGAAGGACAGAGCAGGCCTGCTAAGGGCCATCCCGAAGGCTGCAGCTCAAGATGGTCGCAAGGTCAACCTAGACAGGGCTGTCTCATTGGCTCTGGCCCTGCTGTCCTCCTTGTCCATCTGGCACAGTGGGAGAGGAGTGCCTGCCTGTTACATCTGGTCAAGAGGAATGGGAGGAAATAAAGCAACTGGAGAAAATTCCCTTAGTGAAAACGAGGAGCCACCTAGAAGGCGAATGTCCATGACCATATCCTAAAAAGCAGTCTTAGTGTTTGCATGTTGGGACCTGGCACCCACTGCTTCTAAGCCGTCTGTGTTGTTTCTTTCAGAAGGCAGTGAGATTCCAGCCTCAACATTGATGGACACTTTGCTAATGAAAGATTTTAAACTCGTTATTAACGAACTAGCATATGATGTTCGGTGTCATAAGAAAGGTAAGCAACGGCCCTCCTTAACGTTTGCTTTAGTGGGAGCTTTTACAGGGAGCAAAGCAACCTAGCTTTTGCTTTGAGAACAGTTTCATGAGATGTTACGGATGGGCATTTTCCTCCTTCCAAAGCAGGAGGGCGATTTCCCTGATTTTTACCATGGGAACTGGGCAGAGCTCTCAAAAATGGAGGCGTGCTACCTGAATCCCCTGGGGTTGTAAAATCACAAGTGTTTCACATAAGATGCCTCCAACAAGTTTTCTAGCACAGTGCAGCTAAGCTGCGCTTCTTAGCCCCTCTCCTCAGCACTGGGAGCCATGGTTTTCCCTGCGACCTCAGTCTCCCAGTCAATTCCTAACCAGGACTGACCCTGCTTAGCTTCCAAGATCAGACCAAACTGGAAACCGTCAAGGTGGTATGGCCGCAGACTGAGCTCAACCCTTGCAGCTCTCAGGAGAGCAGCTGACTTTCCGTCTGCTGCCTGTTTGGTTTGCTTTAAGAGGCTCACATGCCAGCTCTGAAACTAGAAGTCTTAACCCTTTAAACAGTTTGCTTTTAATTTCAAACCATACGCTGAACCATCCTAAACAGAAAATCAGAAATCTGAAACTTTTCGATTCCACACTGGAGTCCTCGTGATGGGTTGTAGTCAGAATGTAGATGCATGGAGGGGGGGGGAGGGGATATACCAGGGGACAGAGTGTTTACTTAGCATAATATATGTACATGTTATACATATGATAAAATCACCTTCAGTCTATGTATAAAGGGTATATATGAAATGTGAATGTTGTTTTTACCTGAGTACCATCCCCATCCCATCACACAAAGATTCCAAAATCTGGAACATATGTAAAATCTGAAATAAGTATCTGGTCCCAAGCATTGTGGGTGAGAGATACCCAACCTGAAACACTGTCAACATTAGCAATTTGCTTCTGACGTTTCTCTTACCACCTCTCCACATATTGCTTCTGTCCCTTTCTTCCCGTATGGCGTTCCCAGCATGGAGACGTCATGCCTTTTGGGGTTGTCACACAGTTAGGTATTCTCTTAGCCTTCCCTCTCTCCTTTCTCTTTTTCAGCTTTGGAGGTTTCTTTAGGTGGATCTTCAAGCTCACAGATTCTTGCTTTCCCAGTGTCTAGTCACTGATGGGAGTCACTCTAGGGTGAGGTGGATAATATTTCTAGAGTTCCTGTGGTTGTTTCTTAGCCTTTCCATCTCTCTATTCACTCTGTATTCTTGAATGCTGCTCACCATGTCCATGACCCTTTAATGCAGTTCCTCATGCTGTGGTGACCCATAATCATAAGATTATCATTGCTACTTCATAACTGTAATTTGCTACTGTTATGAATCATAATGTAAATATCTATGTTTTCTGATGGCCATAGGCAACCCCTGTGAAAGGGTCATTGGACCCCCAAAGTTGAGGACCATTAGATTGGAGGCTTTATGACATTAATCAGTTTTCCTTCATAATACACTAGTTGAGTTTCGTCAACTTGACAGAAAATAGGGTCATCTGAGAAGAAGGAGCCTCAATTGAGAAAATAGTTCCAAAGCTTGTGATGTAACCTATGTCTCTCCTTCCAAATCCCAACATGAATGTTTGGCCCGCAAAGGGCCAAGGCTAGGTCTCCAGCTCCTTCTAGCTTGTGAGAAGTCTGTTGGGGCAGATGCTATGTCAGGATTGAGCTCCTGGTCCAGTGAGCCCCAATCTAACACTCAGTGTTACTGCATGCTAGGAAACCCATGTTACACAGACCGAATGAACAGGGAAGGGCACAGTGTACACGATTGGATGGAAACGAACGAAAGAATCATACTGGATTAATTAAGGAAGAATTTATTCGATTACAAATTTAGAGTTTAAAAAATCATTTCAAGTCATTCTTAATCATTGGCAGATGTGAATTGAAAAGTTCGGGCCACGAAAATGAACTCTACATGGAAGACACATCAGAAAACCAACAACCATGTAATGAGTAATTGTCTCAGACGTACATGGGTTCTGTTAGGAGGTGCAGAAATACTCCACCAATTTGGGTTGGCAGTTAACACAGGAATTTGGTGCTACCCTTTTCTCTGAAAGCCCAGTAGGCATTCTGTTCTGTCTTGGACCATGGCCTCCTTCCAGAAAGAGACAACAAGTTTGTTGCTATTCCCTAACAGTGTGATCAACAAACCCCATGCAGTCATATTAATGCATCTTTCCACATTTTGTAAATTTCTACTTTTCTCTCTGTCCCTATCTCGTCCCGTCACTGTTTCTTTATTCTCCCTGTAAGACACTATCACTTTGGGGTTGGAGAGAGGGTCCAGCAGTTGAGATGGCTTGCTGCCCTGGCAGAAGACCCAAGCTGAGTTCTCAGCACCAACATGGTGGCTCACGAAAGAGTCATTTGACCCACCCATCCCCACCTGCACCAAGGGATCACTACCCACAGGTTTAGAACCACTGGCCGAGACTCACCTGGCGGAGAACCATGTATTAAATGCCTATGTCTCTTTTACCTTTTCTCAGAAAAACCAAGTGCCGAGCACACGATTGAGATGGAAAACATGAAATCTCTGGTTCACAGACTGTTTACAGTACTGCACTTAGAGGAATTTCAGAAGAGAAGAGAGCGCCACCTGATGGCAAAGATCGACCACCTGAAGGAACAGCTGCAGCCCCTGGAGCAGGTGTGTGTGTGTGTATGTAAGCCATGCCTCTCCCTAGCAAGTGCCGGGAGTCAGTCACAGGGGCATCTGAGTGGTTTCTGTGGGCTCACTTTCTCCTTCATTCTGGAAAATGGCCTGTGAGCTGAGTATCCACCAGTAACGGAGCCTGATAATCTGACGCCAGAACAGATGTCCTCTGCTTCCTCAGCATCAGCATCAGCCGTGAGCCTGACGAGCAGGCTGGGAAATGGGATGTGGGAGAGCACTTGCTACATCACAGGTCCCAGTCTGCCTAAGAACCGGGGGTGGAGAGTTAGTAATGGCTTCCTCGTATCGGCTATGTTTATTTCTTTTCTCCAAATCATGGAGAAAAAATTACTTATTTTTTTTGGTGGCTAGGCATGGGGTAGTCTAAGAGGAAAACTTGCATTCTTTAAGCTATAATTCTGCTTATAAAAAATGGGTAACTAATCTTTGTATATGAATACACAGTTTCTAGAAATGAGGTCATTATTTCCAAGGGTATTGAAAGAATGGGAGAGAAATATTTTTCTTTGTTCTCTTTTTTTCTGGATTATTTACATACATTTTGTTTTTCAAGAAATTGATATGCTGGGTATGGTGGTGGCTGTCTTTAAATCTGGCTCTTGGGAGGCAGAGGAAGGCAGCGTACTATGAATTCAAAACCAGCCTGGTCTGCATAGCACGCTCCAGGCAAGAGAGGGCTCCATCTGTATAGCGAGACCCTGCTCCAAGACAGGAAACAGAACAGGAGGAGCCACTAGAGAACTAGATGCACACAAACTGTGTCTGCAGATGAATTCCCAGAAGTGAGGATCAAGGAAAACAGGCTGTGGTTTTGGAATAGGACTTTTAGGCTTCTAATTGTAAGCATAATTGTGTTTAGGGGATTTTGTTTTTCCCTCCCCCGGCCCCTTTTTTTCCGGCTGAGCTTTAACTCACAGAGATCCTCCTGCCTCTGCCTCCTGAATGCTGGGATTAAAAGAGCGTGACACTATGCCTGGCTAACTATGTTTGAGTAGATTTTACCTTTACAGTTAAACAAAATGATTAATGAACTGACTTAGAAGTGAGCAGTTACACATCCTTCATAAAGCTCCTCATTCTACACACCTGACCCATTCATATTAATGAAAATGTGCACTGGCTCAAATGTTTCTTGTTGCTTCTGTTTGCCCCTTAAGCAGGCAAACCTGTAAACTGAATGCATGGTTTTCCTTTCTTCCAGGTCAAAGCTGGAATAGACGCTCGGTCAGAAGCCAAAACCAGCGGACTCCTGTGGGCTGGTTTAGCCCTGCTCTCTGTTCAGGGAGGGGCACTGGCCTGGCTTACATGGTGGGTGTACTCCTGGGATATCATGGAACCAGTCACCTTCTTCCTTACGTTTGCAAATTCCATGGTCTTTTTTGCATACTTCATCATAACCCGACAGGTGAGTAATAAGGGAAGTCAGAACATTTGTCTGAAGAATCTCTCCTCCAAGCCAAGCAGTGTCTTGGTTAGGGTTTCTACTGCTGCGATGAAACACCATGACCAGAAGTATCTCAGGGAGGAAAAGGTTGATTTGGCTTACCTATCCTGAATCCCGGTCCACTGAGGAAAGCCATCGCAGGAACTCAAACTGGGCAGGAACCTGGAGGCAGGAGCTGGTGCAGAGACCACTGAGGGGTGCTGCTTACTGGCTTGCTCCTCATGGCTTGCTCAGCCTGTTTTCTTATAGCACCTAGGACCACCAACTTTCTTAAAGCACCCAGGACCAGCAACCCCCGGGTGGCACTGCCCACAACTGAACCTGACCCTCCCAATCACTGATTGAGAAAACACCCTACAGGCTTGCCTACAGCCTATCTAGTATCTCAACTGAGGCTTCCTCCCCTCAGATGAATGTAGCTTGTGTCAAACTGACATAGAACTAGCCTGCACAAGCAGCAATCGATAAAACCCTTTCATGTGCTGAGTTTTCTGAAGCTAGTAAATTTTTTTAACAAGGTTGGATGGATGGATGGATGGATGGATGGATGGATAGATATAAAATAAAAATTTTAATTCCTACAGAATTAGTGTGAACACATGAACTCCTCCTCCATCGGGATGAACGCTGCATTCATGTTCTCTGTGCCCTCGCTAACCAAGGACATTGAACTTGCACTACAAAAGTTAGCGATATCCAGTAACCAGCTTGTCCCAAGGTTGCTTTGCCCAATCTTCCCGCTTTTCTTCTTTCATAACGTGTACAGTCTGCCTGCTTGTAAGAGGGGCAGCTACTCAACTCCGGCCGCATGCCCTACTTCTGTGGGCTGTTTGCCCCGTGACCATTCTTCTCCCCACTTGGCCTTGCTGTCGCTGAGTTAGTATCTTCACTTGAACTACGCTCTCTCCTCTCTCCTTTAGAACTACACCTACTCATCCCTTCGGAGCAGGCAGTTTCTTCAGTTCTTCCACAAGAAGTCGCAGCAACAGTGTTTTGATGTGGAGCAATACAACAAGCTAAAGGAGGACCTCGCTGAGGTATTTTATTCCAAGTGCTTCTCCGAGCTGGTTTTGTTTTGGAGACGGGGGAATGCATGCAACTGTTGGCTCATTTTTCACATGTTGGCAAATGCTGAACTGAGATTCTTATGTATTGTTTAGCAAAAGATTGGGATGGGAGTCTTCTGTCTGCATGTATGCCTGCCAGCCAGAAGAGGGTGCCAGATCTCATTACAAGCATGTGATTGCTAGGAATTGAACTCAGGACCTCTGGAAGAACAGTCAATACTCTCAACTGCTGAGACATCTCTCCAGACCCTTAAAAGCTTTTTTTCCCTAATAACTTTGATATGTGACAGTAGTGGGGATTGAACCTTGGGCCTCAGTATATGCAAGGCAAGCGCTTTTCCACTGTGCTACACCCTCAGCCCCGGGATGGGAATTTTTGTCTTTTAAAAAAGTGTATGAGGGCTGGAGAGATGGCTGCTCTTCCAAAGGTCCTGAGTTCAATTCCCAGCAACCACATGGTGGCTCACAACCATCTGGAATGAGGTCTGATGCCCTCTTCTGGCCTGCAGGCATACACGTAGAAAGAATATTGTATACATAATAAATAAATAAATATTAAAAAAAAGTGTATGAACTGGCTGGGAAGTGGTGGTGCACACCCTTAATCCCAGCACTTGGGAGGCAGAAGCAGGTGGATCTCTTGTGAGTTTAAGGCTGGCCTGGTCTACAAAGTGAGTTCCAGGACAGCCAGGAGTGTTATACAGAGGAAACCTGACTCAAAATCCAAAACCAAAACAAAACAAAATAATAAAAAACATATGTGAACTGAAAAAACAAAACCCCGACAAAAGGATTACCCGGTGGTTTCTTTCCAGAGCGTCATGAGGTCAAATGAAGCCATGAACTCATCTTCTAAGAAAGGATTCATAAGGCTGGGCAGAGTAGACACACCTTTGATGCATCCCAGCACTGGGGAGGCAGGCAGATCACTGTGAGTCGAGGCCAACCTGGTCTACACGTCCAGAGGTACACAGTGACACCGTCTCAACAAAACAACTAAGCAAACACATACAATACATCAAAAAAGGCCTTTCAAACAAGGCCTTTACCTCAGTGATTTAAATGTTTTCTTGTCCTCAAGAGAGGTTAAATTTCTACAATTCCTCAAGCAGAAATGCTGCATTTCTTGTTTTCTCTGAGCACAAGTTGTTTGTTATCTTTTCTTCCTCACCACAGGCCACAGAATCCCTGGAGACCATGCGCCAGGCCCTCCATTTGCGACTGCCAGGAGAGGAGCTCAAGGAGAAGAATTAGTCCCACGTTTTTAAACAACCCAGGGCCACACGCTTTTGTAACTTACCAACTGGACATTTTCAAGGTCGTGTTCATTTCCATTTGATGGCTTCAGATGTTGTTTGGCTGTTAAACTCGAGTGGAGCAGAGTACTCTTTGCCATTCTCACATGAGATTCTTGGTTTGTGGATCTGTGAGGACTGAGGTTTCAGAAGGCCTGTGTGCCCTGGCAAAGCCTTGGTACCCAAAGCCCTCCCCTGCTGGCCCCATGTGGAGGTAAAATGATTGGCGTCTTGGCATTCATTCACTTTGGTTCTTAGGTTCATCTGGAATCACCTTGTTAATTTGAACTTGGTTTTATTTCTTGAGACAGGATCTCATGGTGATGTGGGATTCCCCTCTGTATGCCGTTAATATGTTTTATTACCATTGGTTAATAAAGAAGCTGTTTGGGCCTATGACAGGGCAGAACAGAGCAAGGTGGGAATTCCAAGCAGAGATAGAGGCAAAAAGAAGGCAGAGTCCGAGAGATGCCATGTAGCCCCATGAGGAGACAGACGCCCACCCTGGAACCTTGCTGGTAAACCACGCCCCTCATGGTAAAATACAAAATAATAGAAATGGGTAAATTTAAGATGTAAGGGTTAGCTAGAAATATGCATAAGCTAATAGGCCAAGCAGTGTTTTAATTAATACAGTTTCTTTTTGTGTGATTATTTTGGGTCTAGGCAGACGGGAAATTAACAAACAGCCTCCGTCTACATCACGCTGTGGCTCAAGCTGCTTTGTAGTCTAAACAATCCTCCTGCCTAAGTTTTCTGGGTCTGTAATTACAAGTACGAGTCATTATATCCATAATTCTTCAAGGCTCATTTATTTTTCTTTTCAAAATGGGAATTAAATTCATACACAAAATACCTTAATTATAGGTAAATAAGAAAATAAACAGATACATGACCAAGTAAAATAGGTCACTATAAATTATATAAGCTATGATTTTAGATATTTCACTAAATGGAGACAACCTCATTCTGAGTTTCAAAAACCTTGAAAAACATTAAAAAACAAACGTATAAATGTAAGGCACACCGGTTGGTATTTTGGGTAACTTTGCAGTTTACTACAAATGTAATAAATGATAGTAGACATTTCTGCAGAGTAATTTCCTGAGGATTTCTCTTAGCCCTTTCATCATCTCCAACACGATTAAAAAACGAACAAACACGAAACACCACTTTCCACGGCATTTTACACTGATGCGCCAAAGGCTTCATCCAACTGACGGTTGTGTCAGAGGAAAATACGTGAAGACAAGACCAATGACCACAGCTACTTACTAGGCTTGGGACAGAAATGCAGCTTTTTGGTCAGCATCGAGGCAAAGCAGGGGACCTGCTTCTTGCCAATTGCACCCGGGTCTTTGCAGAAGTCCACGCGGCGCTGAGAGACCTTTCTGTTCACCAGCGTGAGCAGCTCCGTGAACTCCAAGGAACTGCCGTACCTCTCCAGCATCTCACACAGATCCTGGATGTACCAGGAGCCGTTCACCGTCTCTCGGTGAGAGTAATACCCTAAAAGAAGATGGGGGAAGTGCTTTATGGCCTTTGCTTAAAGGTGACCAATAAACACTATTATGATGAATACAGTCACAGAAATGAAAGCTCTTGGAAGCTTATTGGAAAAGAATAAGGTCTGCCGCTCATCATGTGGTCACGGTTCTATCCATTGCTTTGTCTCATGTAGGAAAACATATTAATTCTATGGTTTTACATACATAGGATTAATTACATTTCCTCCACTCTCTAAAAAAGAAAACTAGAACAAGACAATAGCCAGTGATCTTGCAAGGCCAGCGATTAAACAAAACCATTCAGTTCAAAAACAAAGAAATTAGCAATATGTTTTTTTCAGCAAGGCTTTCCACAAATATGACCAGAAAGACACTGCTGTTCTATCACCAAATGACAGCAAGCTGCTAATAGCAGTACAATTATACAGCTCTGTGGCTGATGTTATTATATTATAACACAATTATACAGGAAGGTTATTGTTATTCCATATGGTATTTTACATTTCGTTTCTTAGAAAGGAATTCTTCAACATGACTATGTCTGTGGCTTTTTAATAGAACGTGGTGATTTAACCTTGAAAGACCCATTCCAACTCAGAGGTGACATAAACTTGAGCCGAGAGTGAACAGGTTTCTAGGCAGCACTCTGCTCACTCACCTTCTGCGACGGAGTAACACATGAGGAAGTCTGCCCCCGCGGGCAGCGTATACACGGAGGCCGCGTCCACCTGGGTTGTGTTTTCCTGCATGCCTGTCTGATGGTCCACCACGTCCAGAGGAACCACCGGTACGTCATGCTGGTTGCCCCGGCAGGCCTACAGAGGAAAGCACACTTTTATTATCTGTCTGCTGCTTTGTTCCCAATGCTTGATGTGCTGTCTGTGAGACTATGTAAGCCAGCATACCCCTCCCTGCCTTAGTAACAGAAACCACGTAAGCAATTCAAAAACAATGCAATCAGGCTCTGAGAGATTAAAGCTAACACAGCTGCTTCCCTGGTAATGTTTGCTTTTAGACGATGTTTACAATCCCGCCCCCCACAATAAACACCAAGATATGCTTCTTTTTAAAAACTGTCAACCTTACCTAAATGTTTTATTCAATCAGGTGATGACTTCCAAATGCTATTTTCCCTGTCTAGTTTTGGTCATAATTTGTCAATAGTTGAAATAGCATTGCCTGACTCAAAAAGACATCTGTCTATCCACATGCCTTCACCTTCTGTTCCCACTGTATTTTTCAATGGCTAAAAAGTAAGTACCTAAGGTGGTGGCACTGGCCTTTAATCCCAGCACTCGGGAGGCAGAGGCAGCTGGGTCTCCGTGAGTTCGAGGCCAGCCTGGTCTACAGAGCAAGTTCCAGGACAGCCAGGACTACATAGAGAAACCCTGTCTTTAACAAACAAACAAGCAATTAAGTTTCTATGTGAATGTTCACATGTGAGTGCAGGTGCCCCCAAGGTTCAGAAGAGGGTGTTTGGTCCCCTGGAGCAGGGACCAGAACTCAGATGCTCTGTAAGAATAGCAGGAGGTGCCACTAACCAATGAACCTCCCTCCACCCCCGAGTCCAGCCCTGAGCCTGTGCGCACTCTGTCTCTCTCTCTAGCCTCCGTTAATTTATAAATATTAATTCCACGTCAAAGCTAGCATTAAATTCTTTTATTTTCTGGTTTGAGGGCCTCGTGTTTGTTAGGCAAATGGTCTGTCATTGAGCTAAATTCTACTCTTCAGTGTTACAGGCTAAACTATGCTCCACCCTGAAATTCATATGCTCAAGTCTCCAATACCAAATAATATTTCTCATGCTCCAAACATTTGCTTTTAATTTCTGGAACTATTTGGCAGCTTGACAGTGAGCTTGGGAAAGTGTAAAAGGGATGATGCAGGGGAAGACTGGCCTGCTTATTTCTACCTCACTTCCACTGGCTTGCATGCACTCCGGATCCCACAGACCTGAGCCTAGGCTGCTGTGCACAGTCCTGTGCAATCAGGTCTTCCCTTCAGTAGCTCATCCTCCACACCCAGCCCAGTCACAGAGACACACTGCTGATTATCTGTCACATCAAATATTAATCAAAACACTTTGGTTGGTTTTAAGTCAGGGTCTCATATGTAGCTCTGACCCTTCTGGAACTTGCTCTGTAGACCAGGCTGGTGTCGAACTCACAAAGATCTGCCTGCCTCTGCCTCCCAAGTGATGGGATTAAAGGTGTGCACCACCATCTGACTAAATTAGGTTTTTTATTTGTTTCTTTGTTTTGGTTTTTCAAGACAGGGTTTCTCTGTGTAGCTCTGGCTGCCCCAACTCACTCTGTAGACCAGGCTGGCCGCAAACTCAGAAATCCACCTGCCTCTGCCTCTCAAGCGCTGGGACTAAAGGTGTGTGCCACCACCTCCTGGCTCAAAACGCTCCTATAATAAATGTTAATAGCTCAAAATATAACGATTAGGCCAGGATTCAAAATAGGCCTTTCCAATTATTGGAGAAACTTATTTTAAAAGTTGATATTTTAACCGTTATAATCAACTGAATTTTATGATTAAAATAGTGATATGATCAATCTTACCTGAATGATAAATATCTTGGGTTTTCCAACCAGGCTCTGACACTTGTCTCCTTTAAACAAGCCAGTCAATGTCTGAATTTCAATTTTGGCATCATAGGCATAAATGTGGTTGCCTTCACCGTGACTCAGGAAGACACAGAGGAAGCAATCGGCATCTACATGACTTGAGGTGGACACTACAGGTGTCCCCAAAAATGCATGCAGAGGTAAAAACATGAGTATGTTATCCACATATAGAACTTCAAGTTATTGGTGCTAAAAAAAAAGTACGCTTTACTAAACAGTAGGAGAGGGACCTACTTTCTTTAATAAATATAAACTTCCTGTAATAAAACACATCTTTTTCTTTTTTTCTTAACACTGGGTCTCATTTTATAGCAATGCTGACCCTAAACTCTTTTTTTCTAAATGCTGGTTGTGTGAGACACGGCCTGACACTCTTGCCCATGAAGGCTGGCCTTAAATATCCAGTCATTCTCCTCCCTCAGCCTCCTGGTGCTAGGATTACAGGTATGTGTCCTATCATGGCTGACTTAAAAACCAATTTTAAGGTTTTAAGCAATTTCACTAAATTTCACATAATACTTCACTAAAGATATATTAGATTTTCAGCCAGTTGTGGTGGTGCACGCTTTTAATCTCAGTACTCAGAGGCAGAGGCAGGAGGACCTCTGAGAGTTTGAGGCCAGCTGGTCTATAAAGTCAGTTTCAGGACATCTAGGGCTGTTACACAGAGAAACCCTGTCTTGAAAAGCCCAAAATAAATAAATAAATAAAATATAAACAATTAAAAAATATTAGCTTTTCTTAAGTACAGAAAAATGATTTAGGAAAAAATGGGGAGGAAGTTACTTAGAGATACAACTAAAACATCACAGACCAACATCCCTAAAGACCATGGGTACAGAAATTCTCAGTAAAATGCTTGCAAGAGGAATTCAACAGCACATTAGAAGAAACATACACCATGACCAAGTCAGCTTGACTGCAGAATTATAATAATAGTTCATTACATGCAAACAGAATCAAAGAAGTACATCATGACTTGAGAGATACAGAAAAAGATGATGACAAAGTTGAACCTCCTCTCCTGCCAGGAGCCGTGAGAAACCAGGAACGACAGGAACACAAGGCAACCCCACCCAGGCTATATAGTAGCAGACCTGACAGCAAGTCCACACTAAGGAAAAGCAAAGTGTTTCCTTGAAAAGACAAAAGACATTCTCTTTGACAAACTGTGCTGGGGAAACCGTACATCCACAAGGAGAAGTAACTTTAAGACCTGACACTGCTAAAAACAATCCAAGATACAGGCACAAACAGAACAATGAGATAGTTCACAGGTAAAAGTGCTTGTGGCCAAGTCTGAGGAAATCCCAGAATCCACATGGTAGAAGAAGAAAACCGCTTCCCAAAAGCCATCCTCTGACATCCACATGAGTGCTGGGACAAGTGTACATGCTCGCTTGTGCACACACGTGTACATGCACGTGCACACACACTAAACAATGAATGAAAAAACGAGATAGGCATAGGCAGAGACTTTCTGAAAAGGACTCCAACAGCACAGGAACTATTTCCAAGAATTAACAAATGAGATCATATGAAATTAAATGAACTTTGCAGCAAAAGAAGCAATTGCCAGAGTGAGGATACAGCCTATAGAATAGGAAGCAATCTTTGCTGGCTACCCATCTGAAAGGATTGTTTATATAGTATCT